AGAGAGCTGAAGTCTGTATAATGTTTAGTAGATATAAAAGATATAGTAATTTTCTTAAAATCGTATGGCTTCGCTATGAATACGCTGCCCTCAGATATGGCTATAAAGGCAATTATAAAGTAATAAAGATAATGAATGTGTGTGAGAGTTTTAACATAGAAATAATAATTGTATAAGGTAATATGTATAAAGTTGAAATGTAATGTAAAATTTATATAAAGACGAGATAATATATGTGAATGATAATTAGTATAATCGAAATATAGGCATAAGAGTAATAAGTATATACATTTTATATTTACGAATTTAGGTTTGTTGAGTTTAAATGATCATACTGTGATTTTAAATTCGAAATTACTTCTTCATTGTCAACACGTATGATTTTATCAGTTTCGTTTTTTCGTAGGAAAACAAGACCATTTTTCGACCAAACGAATTGAAAGTGGAGTGATTTTTTGAGGTCTCTTGCTTCTTTGAATAGCTTGTTACCTTTTGTTGTTAAATTTTCTCTAATGTAAATAGGCATATCAGGCTGTATACCAATGTCCTTAGTAGAAAAATTTCTTTTTATTTGGCGAGCTTTAAGTGTATTTATTTTATCTTGATGATTTATGAATTTAACTATAATTCTTCTGGGACGTGCGTTGTTACGGTTGAAACCGATTCTGTGACAATCATTTATCATTGACACGTTAATATTTGGATTTAATTCTTTACATATTTGGTGGACTAATTTAGTGCAATCTTCTGTTTTATTTTCAGGTATTCCATCAATGATAATATCATTTGATATTTGGCGGCGTTCCATAAGTTCAATTTTGTTTTCTAGTTGGATTATATGTGTTTTCAAAATATTGTTTGCTGTAATAATCTTATCGATTACATTAAATTTGGCGTTTAGGTTATTGAAATTAAGGCAGGTATCTTCTTTAAATTTTTGAAATGTGTCTTTAAGTTGAAGTATAATTTCTTTTATTTCAATTAAATCAGTGTTACCTGAGTTGACAGTGGAGTCAAGTCGGAGCGAGGCTCTTTTGGCGTTAGAGCAACTGCCACATCTCCAAATATTGTCCGACTCCTTTAGATAGTCTACATCTTCCTTAGAAAGTTTTTGACATTTGGCGTGCCAAGTCAAATCACAGTCAGTACAAGTTACAGACAGGGCCGACACAATATTAACAGAGCAGGAGTTGCATAAAGGCATAATAAAATATTGTTTGTGAGAGTTTAAAATAACAACAATAGCACACACGAACAGAAAAAATGCGATAAGGGAGAGACGTATACGTAGGCGTTACACAACCATATAACAAAATATATACATGGTAATTTATAATATAACAAAATATATACATGGTTTTACAAATAAAAACATGACCTAGTATTCTAAATCATCCATCATTTCAGCCAACTCTGCATCTCTATAAAATTTATAAATAATTTAAGTTTATTATTTTAAATAATAATAATTAGTTTAACTTACTCTATTGTATAATGTCCATGAGCTAGGGTATGAATTTTGTCTTCTAGTACTACCCTCTTATCGTCATAATTATTGTATGTTATTTTGTTGGATTGGACTGTTGTCAATTGGTGGTTGAACGAGCGTATACACATGTTCAGATGTCTATTTTCGTGATCCGACCCATTACCTTCAAACAAGCATCGCTGGTGACCCTCAAATGTCATATGGTTCTTAACCACATGGTCCCTAATACCTTTGGCTCAAATATTTTCCTTCACATTAATTCCATCCTCGCCTAGGATTTTATACGCGTAAGATTTAGCACGGAGCGCCCAAAACTCTGTCATAATACAGCCATCAGTCTCATCCGAAAACAGACCCGGAACCTTTTTCCTCTCTGCAATATAGCACGGATGGTCTCGTGGTAAGTTAGCAGTATCCATACGGCCAAGCAGATGGGTATTCTTTACAAGTTCATCGTAGAAATCATCGGTTTGAATAAAATAAACCAGTGAATCTGTAATAATGATTTTAGTTAATATATTATGTAAACACAAGATATTAGTTTTAATTTTACCCGTGTCAGTATACATAAGCTTGATATTATCGCCATAGTGCTTCTGCATTACATTGTAGTGATAATCATACATCAATGTCTTTGATATATCCAACACTGCTAAACCTGCAAAAATGACTATTAAATAATAATAGGGGAATAAACATGCTTGATACATACCGACATAAATAGGTTTATCGAATTTTATAATTTTTTTCTCCAATGTTATTGCACTCAAGTTTTCATTATATGATTTTGCATATTTAAATGTCGACAAGTTGATTAGTTTTTGCACTCTAGCATTATTCGAAACAAGCTCCATGTGTAACCTCCGTCTAACTTGTTCCATAGTCTTACCTATACATTTTTGAACGGGGATAGTGTCAAAATCAATTAAACACACCCACACATATAGATACATACTAAAAATACTATTATTCATAAGCTTGAAGAAGTCTTTTTCAAAATCATTCAAAGCTTTTTTCCTCATCTCTGTATTTAAATTAATAAATTCAGCAAGCCAGGATGATTGGTTGAATTGTAGGACTCTATGTACCTAGAATAAAATTAATAATGTTGAAATGTAGTCCAGTCGATATAATGAAAAATAGGAGGGGTAGCTGGAAAGTATTCCGAAGTTAATGGAATTTTTACAGGTTGTCTAGGGATACTCTAGGATGACTATCCTAAGTTTTCGACCTCGAGGACCTTGTGCTAACTTAGGGGGGAGGGGGTGCAAAAAGCTTAAAACTTTCAGTCTTTTTTCAGTTTTTTGCTTATATCTAGTAAACTAATCATATTTTGTGTTCCATAGAGTGATACAAAGTTGTAGACCATCAAATTTACCAAAATTTGGTTGGTAAATCAATTTATTTACAAAAAGCAAAATTAAGATAATTGCATTTGTTATGTACAATGTACATACGTAGAAATAATTTTAAATTATTAATATACACGAAAGTTTCGACCCTATAACTACATATTGATATATTATAATATAGTATTGGGTACCATAATTTCCATTATAACTTATTAGCGCTGTGCGTTGTCATTTAGAAACGGAGATAGTCAATAAATCTATTTTTAGGAACTTTTGGTGAATTAAATATTACACTTATCGCGATAATGACGATTTGTCTAGCTATATTTTATTTTTAAATACTTTTATCAATACTGTTATAAAATCCGATTGGTGTATATTATATAAATAAAATAAAAGGATAAAAATAATACGTGTATAATCAAATACCATTATATTGATATTTAATAAATAATATTATGGTCAGCTCTCAGCTATTGTGAGATATTTGTTCGTTGCTACACGCCTCAACAAAACATTTTTTTTCCAAGACAACTTCGATCAGCACTATTTCGCAGGCAAAATTTCTTTCTAATGATTCAAACAAGATTAACTTCATAATAATGTTGAAGAGTGAAATGGAAGCCAAAGGGATACAAGTGAAGCAGGCAGTAGAAGACGCCGATGTAATGATCGTGGAGACTGCTCTTACAGTTGCTGATAAATATGATAGTGTAATCATAACAGGGGAAGACATAGATCTTTTGGTGCTACTCACTGCTATGGGTTCTTCTAAAATGAATGTCTATTTCCAGAAGAGTGGAAAAGGTCACAGTAAAACCATGCTGTATTCATCCCACTCTTTTAAGTACGAATCACAAGATATTCTTTTCTTGCATGCGATAAGTGGGTGTGATACTACCTCAGCACCCTTTGGTATAGGAAAAAAGAAGGTGATGCAGATATATAAGAAGATCCCTAGTTATTCAGAGATGTTGGTAATTTTTAAAGACCCCGAGGCAACTCAAGCTCAAATTGCTGACGTTAGAGAAAAGTTCCTTGTAAAACTATATGGAGGAACCATTGAACTGGACAACCTAGAAGACCTGAGGTATCGCATTTTTTCTTCAGTCGTGGCAAAACCAAAATGTCAACTTGCCAGATTGCCACCAACCAGAGATGCCGCTAAATACCACTCTTTCAGGACGTACTTGCAAGTCCAGGAGTGGATGGGAAGCCAAGTTAGCCATCAAAAGTTGCCTTCTGCATGGGGTTGGAAACATACAAAACGAGGTGGGTATTTTTATAGACTTAAACAATAACTTTTTCACACTGTAATAGTACATTTTAATTCTTAAAACTTGAAACACGAATTAAACTACTATTAATACTTGTAATAATGATCAATACACGTATATTAATTAACTGATTCATTTGTTTATAGGTGTCGTTCCCATCACCACAACAATGGATGCTGCTCCGGAACAGCTACTCCGCATAATTAGCTGTAAGTGCACGACTGGTTGTGCTACTGCAGGCTGCAGCTGTAAAAAGGCTGGACTATTATGTTCTGCGGTATGCAAACGCTGCGTGGGCATAGCGTGTGAAAACTCATCTCAACCTGATACCAACGAAGCTGACACCGATGACGAGGATCGCAGTGACCTGCCCCTTCTTTCTGCACCGAAGGTGCACGAGAAAGTCGTGTCCATGGACACCGACTACGATGACGACGACAACCAAGACGAAGGTCCAACAGATCCTAAGCGATCCAAGGTTATAGTGCCCTGATGCACTATATGCATTAAATATTATTTTAAATTAGATGTTGATATTGATGAGTGATTGACTAAATTAACATGGAAATGATGGTATTAAATATAGTTATAGAATCAAAACCTTCGTTTTTCAGCTGTTTTTTTTTATGTTTTGAGAAACTATGTATAACTTTGATCAGCTGTATCTCAGTTAATTTTTTACGAAATAAATTGTCTAACCTACCAAATTTTAGCAAATTTAGTGTTGTACAACTTTGTTATGCTTTATGGAACACAAAATATGGTTAGTTTACTAGATATAAGCAAAATACTGAAAAAAGACTGAAAGTTTTAAGCTTTTTGCACCTCCTCCCCCCTAAGTTAGCACAAGGTCCTAGAGGTCGAAAACTTAGGATAGACATCCTAGAGTACCCCTAGATAATCTGTAAAAATTCCATTAACTTCGGAATACTTTCCAGGTAAAATGTGGAAATCGACTGGACTAATGTTTAACATGTATAAAATAATACATACTTTATCCACTATCAGCCCGTTTTTAATGGCTTGTTGGAGACTGCGGTAATGCACGACATAATTTTTCTTTGACTCAAAAGTCGCCATGAGTTTTTTTACTTTTGAGCCAGCAGGTATCCCGTTTTCGGGTAAAAATGGTAGATCATTATGTTTATCATGTAGATCTACCGGGTACGTTACGTCGACCTCATACATCCGTCCTATGGGGGAGGTATCATCCAAGTTGTTAAGTCCTTCTAGCTTGGCTTCAACCCACTCTAAACCGCCAGTAGGCATGTACTGGCTCATCGCCCATCCGTATAGGTTGTTACCTGTAAAGTTTTAAAAATAAATGCAATTTTTTGAAAAAAAATTTGAAAAATTATACTTACAATCTTGATATATAAGCCACGATTTCCTCAGCGTTTCGTCATAATCAGGTACCTTTGGGTTATTGGCTTTAGCATAGCGCATGCTAGCCTGTACCAATCCACCGCGTATACCTATAATATAATTTATTTTTATAACATTTAAAAGCTAATTTTTTTTCTAATTTACATACCCTTTTCTATAAATAGTAGCATGTCATAGTCGGTTAGAAGTCCTAATTTTATAGATGTATACTTCAACATGGAATCGAAGCTGAAACCTGGGGCCGTATAATAAAATGCTGGATCTAAATTGTACGTTTTCATGCATAGATCGCGGAAATTTTCGAAAACGTCCGCGAGCAACAGCACATCCACTTTCAGGTACAAATCAAAACAGTCACCAAGCGTTTGGCACCCAAAGTTTCTCCATACCTCCATAGCATGATCATAATCCGTGTCCTTTACGCCATCCTCCTTAAGCGTACTATAGAAATCTTCTTTTGATGGTAGACTAGGCTCGTCCAACTTATCCCAGCCATCCGTATACTCATATGGATATACACCCTTGCGGGTGACAAAAGGCATATCACCGGCATCGAAATATTTCGAAGTCTCTCGGAATTTCGAAAAATCTGGTGTCAAGAGGTTTTTCGCGAGACTACTCAACTGTGACGGCATAAACCTATACGTGTCTACAAACCGTATGGTAAACGTCTTACTTATATATTTAGAAAATGATATAAATTTCTCTTCGCTATTTGCAATAACCCTAATACTGTTAGCGTCATACCTAATTCAGTCACAATGAAATGAGCATCATAATTAGACAAATTATGAAAAAAACATGGTACGAATTTGGGTTGTCTTAGTTTTAGATTACAATGGGCGCATAATGATTGCCTAAATCTACCAGTCAGGTGACAATGATCGCGAACTTTTTCAATCGTGTCGAAACTCCGTTTGCAAAAATTACAATTTTTGTTATCACTATGTATTCGCGTATCATCATCACTCATGACTATAGGGACAATGGTCTTTAATAATTCCTCAATTGTATGGCCTACCTCAACGATATTTTCAAGAAAATGTCTGGCAACATCCTCTTGAATACTACTACCGCGAAAAACTACCGGTGTGGTTGGTATATTAAATCGCTCTATGAGTTCTAACGGTACGTCTTCGGACGCCTTGACTAAAAACAAATAACTCATGGGCTTGTGGTCATGTATTAAAGTCGTATGAACCCCCCTTTTGACATTAGTTTTTACTAGCAACGCTTCAAAATCGGCGTAAATAGTAAACGGATGTCGTTGAGCATTTTGCCAGTTTTCAAATTGAAGTGTTGCACCAACATCAGGCATTTTGGGTAGAATCGGCTTATGTGCTCCACAAAATAATTTATGTTCCTCGAGTGCTGCCCGCCCGCTTAATTTGTATTTTAATGACTGATCGTCGAATGACGTGAAGCAACGTTTACAGAAATATTTCGAATGTCCGTGTTTAGTTATTTGGGAGCGGATCAATCGTGAAAAATTCGATATATAGACATAGTGGCTCTTTTCACCTTCAGTGTATAAAATTAAGTCAAAATGGTCGGTTTTTTCATTGTCTACAACTTTTAATGGAAAGAAGTGAGGAATCGGATTTTGTGAAGATGGCTTAGATATTTTGTTACCGTAAATATTTATTGATACTGATGGATTATTTTTTTCAAATATTTTGGCTTCACTCCACGGTGTTGGGTATGATAATCCAGTGAAATTATATTTATTCTCATGTCGGTAATAATTATCACCGACACGATGTTTATTTGGGCCTGTAACGTGCTTAGCCAGAATGGCCCTTTTAAAACAATGTTGATCTCTGTTCTGTGGATTGACCGTCGCCCCCCTTTTTGTAATAGAATTATGAAGCTTAATATATGACGAGCCAGCTACACTATTAAAAATATCTGAATGATTTTCACATTGATCTGTTGTTTCATTTTGTTGATCATTATTTAACGTAGTACTAGAACACGGGTTGTCATTCACGTCATCTCGCGCATTATCAGAATTAATAACAGGCAGACCAATGTTAGAAATGTTTCCCATGGGGGTGTACTTGTAAACTGTTAATAGAAGTCCGTCGATGGATTCTAACACATATCCACTACCCTTTGCCGCATAAATCTCCTCCTCGTGTAATAATTTAGCGAACGCCTGCTCTATTAATAAATCTAAATTAGAATCTAAAAAAATTTCTCGGGCTGCCGTCTTGAATGACCTATTTTGCTATGAGTTTTCTACATGTGGTTGGTTATATGTGGCTTCAAGTTTTAAATTAAATTTAATGGGATTGACACTAACAATTATTCACAATAATTCAACGAGTTCGGGCTTTACATTAGCGAGGAATGAAATATAATTTTCGAAATTGTTCAGATTTTTAGCGTAATACCATACGATTTTTCGACTATGTGCGGATTTAACCTCAACGAATCCCGATGTATTAGCCTTATCCATACGAGCCTTTTTTGATTTAATACGGCTTGTTGTATTTTCTACGTGTACTCGCTTATTCCCTTCAGTAGTCATATAAGAATCTACTAAAAAAAAAAAATAATAAATAAATCTTACGCTGATAATAGAGAACAAAAAATCTCACCTGGCGCATCGCGTGGTCTGGCATTGTCAAGCACTTCCGCGTACATTTCTTCGTTTCCGTCGTTGAAATCATCGTTCGGCACACTATTAACATACCGAGCCTGATTTGACGGACCTGCTGGTAGATCTGGTACTATAATATTTGGAGCGATCTCGATTACACCTCGTTGTGGTTGAACGCGTGCAACACCTTATAAAATAAATATTGAATTAAACATAAATTTTAATTCGACCTCAATAAATAAAATTAAACTAACCTGTATCATCTTGGTAATTTTCAAGCGCTCCCGCGAACATTTCATCATTACCATCATTAAAATATTCGTGCAGCCTATTCTGAGCCTGATTTGACGGACCTGCTGCTAGGTATGGTACTACAATATTTGGGTCGACCTCAATTGCACCTCGTTGTGGTCGAGTGCGTGCAACACCTTATAAAATAAATATTGAATTAAAAATAAACATAATAGCTTAAAAAATAAATATTGAATTAAATATACATACCATGCAAATTTTTCAAATGTCTATTGAGATGCGTCTTGTAGCTGAACGTCGACGCGCAGATAGTGCATGGGAAACGAACGCCATCATGATTTTTTTGGTGAGCAGTCAAACTGCGTTTAGCTGTAAACGTGGATGGACACTGCCCGCATTTAAACATTTTTAAAATTATAAAGGGTAAATAACACAATAAAAATAAATACGATTACAAATTAAACACACTGAGTTAGGTGTGAATAATGTTGAACAGAATATAAACAGTGAAATAAAAACTCGCTAAAATATTTTAATGCCTTAGTTCGCAAACGAAAAATAAACGTGTACAACGGTTTAAGACGATATACGTACTGAACGGATGTAGGCTCTTTAGTGCCTTTATATTAAAGACTTTTTGCAGTACGCATGCGCTTTTGCACTTTTTTGTAATCTGCACGTATAGTGTCCGGCGTCTACTGAATAGACACCGGCGGGGGTATATCGATAGGTCAACGTCTAAGGTGGTCTGAGGGGATGTCCCTTAAACCGATTTTTTGCGCTTTTTTTTTTTTTTTTTTTGTAATCTGCACGTATAGTGTCCGGCGTCTACTGAATAGACACCGGCGGGGGTATATCGATAGGTCAACGTCTAAGGTGGTCTGAGCGGATGTCCCTTAAACCGATTTTTTTTTTTTTTTTTTTGTAATCTGCACGTATAGTGTCCGGCGTCTACTGAATAGACACCGGCGGGGGTATAGTTAGTTGTGATTGGTCGTACCTCATACATTCACTTTATGAATTTTTTCGTGTTATACTTTTCGTGCCTTTCGTCAGCTCAGTATACTCTTAGTCTTATAAATATAAACACGTCTTTTATTTACCATCAATATCTATTATTTTAATAAACATTAATACGATTTTTATTTACCACCAATATTTATTATTTTGTTCGTGATTATCACCTGGGAAACGTAAGTATTTTTTTTATTTTCACATTATTCAAGACTTACGTATAAATCGATTTTTAGATGTCTAATGATTCGTCGTCTAGTTTGTCGTGGTTTAACGGGGATAGCAACAACAGAGTTCTTACAGCGACTCCTCCAGAAGATACTCCACCTTTTTTTATATTTCGCCAGAGAGGACATTTGTATTACTAAGTAAATATTTTTTAATATTATTATATTTAAATTAAATTATTTATAAAATGTGTATAATCTGGTTTTAGCGGGTTAATAGACCGCCATCAAGGCCCGTCACCCCAAGGCCCATTGCTCCAGCGTTAGATGAAAGTCTACAAGATGCGCAAAGACCGTGGAGTCTACAAGGTGCGCAAACACCATGGTGGTTTAGCCCGCAACTATTACCCGTTAGCCCACTCCCGCAGCGTCGCCGCTTCAGATATTCAGATATGGTAAGTGTTAAATAAAAATTATGTCTTAGACTCAATATAATATAAAATAAACAATAATTTTTAATTTAGACTCAAGATAGCGGTTTCTTTACCGAACAACGGTTGCATAGTTCATTATCACAAGTTAGACAACCTGTAACGCCTACAACACCGGGGGTATACGCGTTGAATCTTATAGAAAATATGGAATTTTCGCCTTCACCGCTGCGACAAACACAGATGGACGAATGGCTTCGTCTTCCCCAGGTCCTCCTGGAATTTGACGTACTAATTTTCGGGAGGATATTAAATACCACTCAACCCAGTCAAAATGTAACTGATTGGGCCGAGGATGGGTATAATGATATCCTGGAACTACACATGTTGGCACATGAAGCAGTATGGAGCGGTGACGAAGTGAATCAGCAAATGGATACTAACGAAGGTAAATTACAGAATAACTTATTTTTTAAATATAATATTATTATTTACAATAAACCTAATATTATTATTTTATATTTTGTTTTTAAGACGAGGAATTGAATCGACATATGGACGAATACGAGGGCAAATTACGGCAAAACTAATTTTGTTTTATATAATAATATGTTTAGATTGTATATTTCTTGTAAAAAAAAAAAAAATTTATCTTTGTATAATATTATAATTGTATATTTCTTGTAAAAAAATATTTTTAC